AGAGAGAGAGAGAGAGAGAGAGAGAGAGAGAGAGAGAGAGAGAGAGAGAATTTCAAACTCAGATCACCTAGCCAAAGCATTCTCAATCAATAACTAAAAAACCTCAGCCTGCTACTGTTACTAAATGAACTACCTACGGAGTGCTTCCTAACTTGTCAAAACCTTTAACAATAAACCAATCCTTTTATGCCCAGCAGAAATACCAAGATACAAGGTGCTTCAATAAATATTTTAGTCACAGGTCTGTTTTAGGCATATATGTATGTAAGCCTGTTATTAACCGTTTATTTTGATGAAATAGAGTGCTGCAGTGTTTTGCTTGAAAACATCTACCTTTTCTAAAACAAAAAAGCCCAAATGAAAGGAAAAATGCTACAGACAGCTTATGTCTGGCACGGCAGTAAATCTAGTAAAAATTTGGCTTTATAAGTTGCATCTTTGCTATGAACTCGGTCGAAATTTTCACCTGACATCCTTTATCCTTTTACATTAGTACCATCATGAACATAATAAAAAACTGAGATCAAAGCTTAACATTCTTTGCCACAATGCCCTTTTTTTTGTGCTCATAAAGAAAGTCACAAAAAAGGTTATTTTTCTTCTTACCTGTATGTCTGTCTTCAGCCACTTGGTGTCCAGGCGAACCTGAGGTCGCAATCTTGGAGCACGCTGCATGTTGGTCTTCAATTCTTCTAACTCACTTCTTCATATTCTGGGAAAAAAAGCACAGTTATAGATTTACTTACAATGCACATTCACTATTTGTACTTAGAACAAAATATTTTTTTTTGTTTAATTAATATGTTATTTGTAACCCTTACTGTAAACTGTCTCTCTTCCTTAGCAGGATGAAAATCATGAGACAACGAACAAAAATATTTCGACATATCAAAAAAAAAAAAAAAAAAAAAAAAAAAACAGGCTAGGCATAACACAACTTCTATCTTAGAATTGAATAAAATACAGATGGTTTCAGTCTGTTATTTCTTAGTTTAAGGCAAACGGTGTTCAAGTCTAATCACTGTCTAGACTGTACCCACACTGACAAGAACCAACTGTGCCGTAACAAAACATTGGCTTTAATTGATGAAAGATGTGATAAAAATACAAATACTCAGGTTAACTTATATTTACTGCTGGTGATGAGATAAAAGAATACTATTAGATTAATAAGTAAATTGACAAAATACAGAGATGACTGGAGGGAAGAGCAGTAAAACAGATAAAGCCAGTTAAATAGAGGAAAAGTTGGCTGATATATAAGGATGGATGGACAGACTAACCAACCGCTAAATACTGGTGTTATTAAATACTTCTGTCTGGTCAATGAGAGGTCAAATCTATCACTGACCTATGCCCAAAATGTTTTTGAACATGTATATAATTAGTTTGAGTATTAGTTCAGCTTCTCTAGACTGTTTTAAACATAGTCTGCACATGTGCAGAGACTGCCTAAGTAAATGGATCAAGACTAGAATCCCACATAAAAGAAAAAAATTACAGAAAAACCTTTTACCTACAAATGAATAGAAAACAAAGCTGGTAACTTTCATCATATGATTTTATCATTGCTCAGACCATGATTCATCTTGTGTGCAGCTTGCTGTTTGACCCCAGGATGTTTTTAACATGAGCGCACAGACAATTGATTTTCCTTTGTATCAATTTTTCTGTTGACCCTACAAACAGTCATCTTATCCTAGTTGCAATATCCTGAAAATTATTTATGTTAATGTATTATAATATAGGGCCACATGCTTGGTTTATTACTTTAATCTAAGAATAGGTCTTCACATGATTTTACCCTTACTTTTATTTATATAGTATAAATGATGTAGCAGTTCTTGTTAAAATACAGTATCTATATTACAATAGCAGATCAGCCAAAGTCTCCTTTTCATGTTTTTCTCCAAAACTACAAGGAACTGTTGACAACTGACAAGTGTTAGCAATACTTTAGGGTAGTGGAAAGATAGTGGCCGTAGTTGGTATTTGATTATAACTGTTAAAAGTATATACAGTATTGAAGGCATTTTCTAGCCTTCAGCAATTTTCATAAAGCTTCGGTATGTGTGACAGGTATCATATATATATACTGTCAATAACAATACATCAGATAGCAAGCTTTGGTAGCTGAGTGGCAACGTCCTAGGCTGCCAAACACGGTGAAGTAAGTTCAATTCCTGCTCAGTCAAGTTTTTTTTTCTTTTCTTTTCTTTTTTTTTTTTTTTATTAGGCCACACTTTTTTATTTTTATGGATGACATCCTCTGGGTACCCCAAA